TAATTCCTGAGCGCAGAGCCAGGAGTAACCCCTGAGCATCGCCAGGTGTGACCCCCCAAAAAGCCAAAAAAAAACCTATTTTCAACCACACACACACACACACACACACACGCACACACACACACCACATGATCACATCCCACTTTTACTCTTCTCCTTCCCACTCCACACGAAGCTCAGGGTCCTCCCAGTGGTTCAACCCAACAGAGGGGGTGGTTCAATGTTAAGGGCTAGATTAAACCTATGTAAATGTCCAAAGGACAAAGACAGAACAAATGACAGCAAAAACATAAAAGAAAATCTTGGGCAAGTCATTATACAGCTTTGAAGTCCTCAATTTTAGCATCATTTTTTAAAAATCATCAAGAGGAAATATATCAACACTCTTCTGGCCATTAGTTATGTTCAAAGAACAGTAGTGGCGGGCCAGAGAGATTGTAGAGTAGGTAGGGTATTAGCTTTGCACACAGCTGACCCAAGTTTGATCCACTGTACTCCCTATGGTTCCTTGAGTCAGGATTTATCCCTGAGCACTGCCAGGTGTGGCCCCCAAATAAATATCAGAAAAAAAAAGAAACTGCACGGGCAGCTGCTTCTAACCCAAGAGGCTATAAAGCCAAGCTGAATCCACATGGCCACTTAATCCAGGGGTTCCTGAGCAAGTTACTTGAACTTTCACATTTCTACCTCCTCAGATGAGCTAGTAATAACACGTCTGAGGGTTGCTGGCAGAAATCAGGCAAAGAGATGTACAGCAATATTATTACCGTGAGTGACATATATTCTAAGGGCTCACATGTGATATGGATTATTACTGTTTCGACTATTACTCTCCTAAGCTATAAAATGAGGAAAATAATACTAACCCGTTGTTATAAAGATCAAATTAGATCATGAACATCCATGCCAATAAGAGACAATAGAAAGGAGAAACGATTATAGATCATGACAAGATAGTAGATAATATGACCATAAAGTCTGCTAAGCTCCTGAAATAGCATGAATTACCTCAACAACAAATAATTTTTAAAAGCAACGAAACCTGTTGGAACATCATCCAATGGGAGTCATCAAATTCATATGAGATCTGACAAGAGCTTGACACCCCCGACACTGCCTTCCAAAGAATTAGGAGTGAGAAGAGATGTTTAAGGTTTCCAGGCTTAAAGCTTGTATAATTAATGTGTCTTAGTCCTTGCCCCTTGAAGAGGCAGCTACTAATTTAGGGATTTCCCTTCCAGGAGAGAAGGGCCTAAACAGGAAGCTGACCATCCAGAAAAGCCACCTTCAGCCTGTTCATTCTCTCCCAGTCCCTAACACATCAGCATGTAGCTCTCCTTTTTTTTTCTTTTATTGGGGGGGGGGGAGTGCCACATCCCATGGTGCTCAGGGGTTAGCTCTGGCTCTGGTGGGGATCAAATATGGGTGGGCTGTGTGCAAAGCTAAGGCCCTACCTGCCATATAATTACTGTATTATCCAGGCTCCCCATTGCACATCCTTCATCCCTCTTCAATGCAAAAGCAAAATCGATATCATCTCTATTGCCAAGCACACATCTGCTTTCTGATAGGCTGAGCACACAGAACACCCCTTTGACACTTCATGGAGCCCAGAGGACCACAGCAACCATCCTTTCCAAGAAGGTGCATGGCTAAACCTCAAAACAAACTGCACCAAAGGTGGATCTTCCTGTCTCAGGCGAAGCAGATGTTTGCTCATTGACCACCGCCTGAGAATCCTGCCTCAAATGGGAAGTCGTAGCAGCTCAGTGCGCTCAGGACTCTCATAACACACAAAAATGACAACCCAGAGTCCCCGAATCACTGCCTCCCACTAGGTCTCCAACCCTCCCACCCCCTATCTCCTCCAAAAAATGCCCCCCTCTCAGCCCAGGGGCTGTTCAGAGTTAGAAAGTAGAAAGTAGTTAGAAACCTGGGGAGGTTATGAACAGTGTTTGGCCTCATCAGCCCACTCTACCTCCATAAACTAAGGACTCTTTTTCCTTCTTAAAACTCAGAAAATAGTGATAAAGAAAGAATGGCAAGCATCATGCCACCATGCCCCCTGCCCCCTCGGCAGCCCCTCCCCCCGCCCCACCCCCCCTTGGTGAGTTTTTAAGTTTAGGGATAGCAGATAGGAGGGAGGCTGCAAGCCTGCTCTTCTCTGCTCCCTTCCCCTTCCCCTCCCCCTCCCACCCCAGCTTAGAGAGCCAGGCTGCTCTGCTAACTAGTTTGTTGTGTTGGATTCACCAGCCAAAGGGACTAACCCCTGACTCCCTAAAGGTCCCGCATGCGCGGATGCTCTGTGCTATGCTAACTCCAGAAGGGCACTGGCCAAGAGACAAGAATGAGGCAAAAAAAGCAAAGCCTACCATCTTACAGATAAAGGAGGCATGGGACGCTCTTGGGGTCAAATACTCTAAACCATAAGTGCCGGGGACTGTAGCAGCCTTGGGGCTGTAGACTTCCGTTTTGTTATTATCATTTGGACCATCCCCTGGATACTCTGCCCATCACACGCACCTGATGGTTCAGTGCTCAGGTCCATGATGCGATGGTGCCCATCGGCAGAGCCAGACGCTCCCAGGGCTACACCCAGAGGCGCATGGGGGAACCCCAGGATGTCAGGGGTGGAACTGGGGGAGTTTCTACATGCCAGGCACACCCTCTAGTCCTTTGAGCTCTCTCAAAGTATCTAAACTATCTTTAGTTTGCACTTCACAAGTCATTTACATCTTAATTTCTCTATATATTCCTATCCCCACCCCTTTAAAAAAACCCTCCCCCTTAAATTCTAGTGGTTTGTTTCTTATACACTAGTTTGAATGTTTCACACTGATTTTTTAGGGGTTTTTTTTTTTTGGCTTTTTGGGTCACACACAGGTTCAAGGATTACTCCTGGCTTTTACACTCAGCAACTACTCCTGGCAGTGCTTGGGGGACCATATGGGATACTGGGAATCGAACTCGGGTCAGTTGCATGCAAGGCCAATGCCCTATCCACTATATTATCGCTCCAACCCCTGATATTTTAGTTTTAAATAGTGACATAAACTAAGTTTCATATATTTATCCATCACTGTAAGCCCTAACATAATACATCAACATGTTTTCACGCATTCAGAGGGGACACATTTCCTAATTAAGTGGCAAATTGTGTGATGGCTTCTGGACGACCTTCATCCTAAGCAGCTTAACAAATGAAGCACTTGGTTTAGAAGTCCAGGACTTCTTTCTTCAGTTTGCTGTAATCTACATTCACTGTGAAAAACTTGCACTGGCCATTTGGACCCAGTTTGTTTCAGGGCCCTGGGTTATTCTTTCTGTGTTAACTGACATCTAGATAGAACAGGGCCTGACAGGTGACATTTAGAGCCTCCAGCTCCAGTACAGATGAAGAGGGGGACCGAGCTCAGATGCATCTTAACCAAAATGAAGATCTGGTGGAGCATTTGGGTGTGGCAGAGGCCTCAGACTGGGTCAGTCATTCCTAGCCCTTCTGGTTGTTGCTGCTGCTACTCCAAATGGGGGTTCACACACACTTGGAAGGGGTGATCAGTAGGGGTTGTGTATCTTCGTTGTGGTGCTCCCCTACTTTTGGTGGTGCTCCTAAGCTAGTTCTTGGGGCCGGCGTGGCTGAGGCCTCGGGCTAGTGTGGCAGGAGCGCCTCCATGGAGCTAGCTTGGCCCCCACCCAGGCTCCTCGACTCATTTAGGGTAGGATGTTTTCCAAATGGGAGTTTCCATTGAAAATCTGAGTTTTCACATGAAAAGCATGACCTGGCTTATTGAACTCGTTTTACTGCCTGGTGGACTCACATGTTATGGGGGAGGAAGGGAGGTGGCAAAGGGGCAGTTGATCCCCAGTGGACGTGGCTGATCTACTTCTCCGCTCTATCTCTGAGGACATTCCACATGTTGTCAATAGATGATGGCATTGATATTAATTTTATCCATACATATTTTTTTCTTTTATCATTTGTTTAAGGGTCAGGGCCAAAGCTCCTTCTTTTGGGCTTGAGGCCCAGCTTTTGCCATCCTAGTTCTACCTACCACCCTCTTTAGTTCAAGGAATCACTGTCATTGTCACTGTCCTCCCATTGTTCATTGATTTGCTCGAGCAGGCCCAGTAATGTCTCCATTGTGAGACTTTGTTGTTACTGTGTTTGGCATATCGAATAAGTCAGGGGTAGCTTGCCAGGCTTTGCTGTGCAGGCGAGATACTCTCAGTAGTTTGCCGGGCTCTCTGAGAGAGGCAGAGGAATAAAACTCAGGTTGGCCATGTTGGCTGCATGCAAGGCAAACGCCCTACCCACTTTTTTCAGAAACTTCTGGACAAAGAGGCTAGAGAGACAGTACAGTCAGTGGGCAAGGTATTTGCTTTGTATGCAACTGACCCGGGTTCAATACCCGGCATCCCATATGGTTCCCTGAGCACCTCCAGGAGTGATTCCTGAGTCCAGAGACAAGAGTAATCCCTTAGCATTGTTGGGTGTGCCCCGCAAACAAACAAACAAACAAACAAACAAAAAAAGTCTGGTCATTATGGGTTGGATGATAGCAAAAGCAGGTAGAGTTTTTGCCTTGTGTTTGGCCAATCCAGGTTCAATCCCCAGCACCACATATGGTCCTCCAAGCTCAGCCAGGAGTGATCCCTGAGTGCAGAGCCAGGAGTAAGCCCCGAGCACAGCCAGGTGTGTGCCCCCTGTCCCCAATTCTGGTCATTCTGCAACTGTAAATGACTTCAATGACATTGGAAACTATGAAGCTGCAATAAAAAATAATGACAAAAAATAAAGATGGAAGTTATTTAGTAAACTGGAAACAAGAAGCTCAGAAACAAAAAGGTAAAAATGAAAATTAAAATGCTAGTCATGAGGTGTTAATCTTATATGTAGTAGCCTCTAGTTCAATACTTGGCACCATGTACATCCCCTCAAGCACCAAGGAGGCCAATTATTGTAGTCGTTGTTGAGGTTAGTAACCAGGAGTTCTACTTACCACCCATATGACAATCAGTCTTTTGGCTGAAAAAGGATCAACATTCCAGTAAATGAATGGAAGAAACGTGATGAAGAATACTTCTTGGCCCAGAGCGGCTGAGAATCTGAACAGGTAGTAGAAGAAATAATTCTTCACAATGTACTTCTGTTCATAAGCCTGAAAAACAAAAGCAAGAGCCCTGTGAGTTCATAGAACAAGAACAGAGGACTTTGAAAAATCTCTATTAACTCTTCCTTTAATTAATTAATTAATTTGGGGGAGGGGGAGGTTGTGGGTCACATCTGGCAGTGCTTGGAGATTACTCCTGGCTCTGCACTCAGGAATTACTCCTGGCAGTGCTCAGGGGACCATATGGGAAGCTAGGGATTGAACTTAGGTTGGCCATGTGCAAGGCAAGTTCCCTACCCACTGTACTATCCCCCTGGCCCCACAGTTAACTTTGCTGCCTATTACTTGTCTCACAGGATGTTATCGAAAGTCACTGCATGAAAGTCAGCAAGAACAGTCCCTGACGGGAAATGTGCAGTAACTATGTGGGATTTTCACCCCTCCTAATTTTGTTCAAACAGAGCTTAGATTTTTAGCCACAAATAAATCATTGTGGCCTGTCTTCAAGCAGAACTGAGTTGACCGTTGACCCAGGTGGATCTCAGTTTTCCTTTTTTGTAGGAGGTGTTGAAGGGCTGGAGCCATATTAGGTGGTAATAGGGAGTTACTCCTGACTCTGTAGTTCTGCACTTGGCACTGTGCAAGCAATTTAACCTCTATACAAACTCACTGGTTTTCATCCCTCTGTCCTCTTGTTTCTGTTGTTGTTGCTTTTGTTTGCTTTTGGGGCTATGCCCGGCTATGCTCAGGGTTTACTCTTGACTCTGTGCTCAGGGAGCTTTCCAGACAGTGCTCAGGGAATCATATGTGGTTCCAGGGATCAAACCCAGGTCGGCCATGTGCAAGGCAAATGCCATATCCACTGTGATCTCTGTCTGCCCTTCATTTTCCCTTTTAAAGAGAATTTTCTTTAACCTTCACTGTTGGTGCACTGTTGGTGAAACTGGGTCCAGCCTCTCTGGAAATCAGCATGAAGTTTTCTCAAGATGAGACAGCACAAAATAGAGCAACTCCATACCTAGGTTTATAACTAGGTGTCAATCAAATAACCCCCAAACATGAGTTTGAAGGGTTCACGACAACAACCAAGATCTGGAAACAACCCTAGTGCCCAACAACAGATGAGTGATCAAGAAGATGTGGTGGAATACTACTCAGCTCTAAGAAGCATGGAATCTTGCCATTCGGGCCAACATCAATGTAACTAAGGGGACCGTGCTAAGCAAAATAAGTCAGAAAGGGAACAATGAGTATTGGATTATCTCTCTCAGAGGTGGGATCTGAAAAAGATTAGAGAGGAAACCAACCCAAAGCGAACCTTGGATCCCAACTAATGCTAAGCCCAGAATTTGGGACTGCCAGTGGGGAGTGAGGTAGCAAGAGAGTGGTGAGAAGGAATGAACAGAAAAGATATTGGTATACCCACACTCTGTGGTGAGTGCGGTGTGACAACTTAGTGTGCTAAAACACTCCTGAAGCTTATGCAGTGGTGGAAACCAATGTTACTGAGAGGAAGGCAGGGAGAAAGGAAGGCAGGAAGGAGAAAGGAAGGAAGGAGAAAGGAAGTAAGGAAGCTAGGAAGGAAGGAAGGAAGGTAGGAAGGAAGGAAGGAAGGAGGAACAAACTGTTATTGACTGTATTATGAGCAATTTTGTAAATCACAGTGTTTTAATTAAAATTAAAATATATCAGTGCAGAATCTATTCAATAAAATGATATAAGATTGAAAGTCTATACTAGTTGTTTGAAAGTGAGAAGGGGTGAAGGGGACCCCTGTCTCTGGCCAGATCACCTCCTACCTTCAGTCCTTTCCTGGCACATCCCTTTCAAACAGTTCAATAATAGTTTGACCCTAATCTATGCCTGACCTGATACAATCCTCCTGTCTTGAACTTTAATCCCAGGGAATTAGGCTTTGAGGTCTTTAACAGACTCTACACACTCTGGGCCACTGTCTGATGCGTAAATATTCTTTCAGTTGGAGGTACAGAGACAAGACACATGAGAGGAATGTAGAGAGCACGAAAGGCCAAAGTGTCGATCTGGCTCAAGGCAAGGAGCAACTGTCAGAAGCCTCCTTTTATTCTATTTTTATCAGTTACACCCTAATGGCTTCATTACAGAGAAAGAATCACTAGCAAGAGTACAAACAGTTACAGGATAAGCATTTGACAAAAGAACATCAGGGTATACATTGTCTTGTCAAAGTTACGTTGCAATGATTAAAACTTTAGAGGAAGACATGGAGCTGGACACATAGATTCTACAGATCACGTCCCCCACATTCTCGTGGTCAGTTACACACAGGGCAAAGAGAAGGCTCATACTGATACTTGAAACCAGATTAAGGATGTGTAAGACAGGGAAAAACTGCTGCTTTGTACTGCCAAGATATTATATGACCAGGAGAGCATACGAGAGCATGCTGTCCAGATCATCCAGACTCACAACTTTTATCTTGCCCACTTAATGTAAAAGTGGGGCCTCGCCCTAGGCCACCCCAGGTGGGAAAAGGTGCCGATCCACCGCCTGTTCCCCTTGGTGGCTCGTGGTCTGCCATCTTCCAGAGGCCAATGGACAGGCAGGGAGAGGCCCACAGTGACGAGACATATGGGACCTCACAGGATGAGGGTGGAGCCAGTCCTTCCCTCCCACCCCCCTGCAGTGAGACCCCAAGTTGCCGCCCATGAACAACCGCTCTGGCTCCTGATCAAGCTGCTTAACAGCCATGATCCCAGAGACTCCGAAATAAATCTCAGAACCCAGCAGCTTTTGGCAGAAATCCCTCCAGTTTGATTATTAAAATTTCAGAATTCCAAAACTGTGTGGCCACTACTGCAGCCACACAATATCATATGCTATTCATTATCAGCAATAGAAAACAAATTGTCTAATGTTGCCTTCTTGGCAGATCTGAGTGTTGGGGTAAAATCCCAACTAATAATGGTGGGTCTGGTGTCAAAATATTGAATGTAATCAAAGTAGAGAGAGAATAATGTGGAAATCATCTGCCCTACCAGACTTGTTTCCGGAAACAAGGTGGGCAGAAGGTGTGGGATGGGGGGGTATACTGGGAGTTTTGGTGGTGGAAAATGTGCACTGTGGAGGGATGAGTGTTTCATTATTGGATGACCGAGACTTAAACCCAAAACCTGCTCTTACAGTGATTCAATAAATAAATTTATAAAACATTAAAAAAAAGTGGGGCCTCAATTCTGCTTCCTGCTTGCAGGGCAGTATCCAGAGGCTTGTCTTAGTGTCCTGGCTTAGCAACAACAACTGTCACTGCAAGGTCATATGACTTATTTCCTATTTCTTATTAGATTAGAGCCAGAGGTCAAATTTGACATGCTTCTCCATCACAGCAGAGCCAGCAGCAGGCAGAGGAGATGTGTGTTCTAAGCAGTCCACTTTAAATGAAAGTACAGAAAAGAGCGCATCCCCAGGGGCTGAGACAGATCAAATCGATATGGGTTATGGACAGTCTTACTTAAAATCCTGTGAAGATCCAAAGCTCTTTCCTTGAGCACAGCTTTTCCAAGCAGCATTCACTCTCACAAAGGCTTTGCTCCAGGGTCAAGGACTAATGAGAAGGGAGCAGATGGACCTAGAGTGGGCTAAGCTGGTTAATGGAAGAAGCCAGGAAAGGAGGTGGGGGCAGGGGCACAGCTGGGGTCCAGAAACAAGAACCCTGGAGGTACCATGTCCTGGGTTGAATACAGGCTATTCTATCACTTACTACATGAACCATTTTGCAGCAATGACTCTGAGAACCTCAGTCCCCCATTGTTGCAAATGGAAAGCATATTTTAACACCACATGGAGAGGTGGGGACAATTCAATCAGATCTTGTTGACTCACTGAATAAACTGGACAGAAAAATGCCCCAATAAGAGCCTAATTGCTCCCATGATATGGGTTCTCAAAATACGCATTTCTTCTGCCCGAAGTCCAGCAGCCCCCAGCCACTCTCAGCATCCTCCAACAGCTCCACAACTGAACCTCATCAAGCTGCCAAACCACCAAATCATTCCAGTTCCGTTGCGCCTGGAGTATGTGGTCACAAACAAGCTGGGTGACACTTCCAAATTTCTTAGTATTGACAACCCAGTGGGAGCCCAGTAAATTTGATGGGAAAATTGTACAGAAAACCACTGAACTCAATGAGCAGAAATTTAAAAAATACAGAAGTCTCAACTAGTGCCAACCAGTCCAGTTAATGAGATATAACTATCACAAATTGACTTCAGTCGACCTATTCTTTGACAGTTTCATTTATCTCTTTGTTGTAAGAAGCAATATGATGTAAATTTGTTTGTGTCTGCTAACTGGGCAGCCTTGGAGGATAGGTAGGAAACTGAAGACATTGGTGGAGAGAAGGTTACACTGGTGGTGGGATTGGTGTTGTAACACTGAATGCCTTAAATAACTGTATTATGGACAACTTTGCTATGGTGTTATAATTAAATTTTTTTAAGTTTGTCTCAGTACTCATTGCGGATATAGGCCCTAGATCTTTGGAAAATACAGCTTTTGGGTGCAGTTTTCATGGAATAGTGTAATATCAGTGCCCCAGTAAGGCCAACCAAACATCTTTTTGGTTTTTTTTCCTGTTTTTTGGGGGGGACCCATGCTCCAGAGTGGATTGGCTAGTCCTCATCTCTGAGCTCCCTTGCTTGAGCAAGCAAACTGGAAAGCATGTGCTCAGTTTATAGAACTCTTTCTCTAACCCTTGTGAATGGTCTTTAGAGACACAATACAACTCAGATTCCTTCCTCCATATGAGAAAAAAGATCCAAGTCACAAGTCAAGCTGCAGATGACGATCTAGAAGGGACCAGTTTATCAATTCCATGAAGTAACCTACAAGAGCCAACTTTGGCCCTGAGCCCCTACAAGCACCTTCCCTGTAGCCGGTCCGTAGGGAAAGGATTCACAGGCGCTTCCTGCTCAGATTACTGCAGGATCAGACCAGCTGCTTTTGCAGAAAGAAAGAATTCCTCCAGCGCTCCTTGTCTTCAGAGAGAAAGGCTTACATACATTCCTGGT